TGCCAGTGAACTGATGCACATGTGAAAGTCTGTCAATATTTGTCCAGTCCCCCACCTGATTTTGATTTCTCTTGCCCTGATTTCGTCTACCACGAGCTGGGGCCGGCTGTGAAGCATTACCAGGATCAGCCTATGCACAGCGGGTGCTGCAGGCATTGCATTATTTACTACACCGGCGGCGCCTACGCCTACGGGCTGACCATCACCTTGGCCATGATGAACATTCACGTCAACATCACCGTGAACACTCAAATCATCGCTAATATTTCCGTCAGTTTCACTTTCACGACTATTACCATCCTCCCGCACGTACCCGGGATCATCAGAATCAGAATTTTCGCTAAATCGATCTGATTCAGAGTCATCGTCAGCAAATATTTCTGCCAAAACATCTTCCGCAGACAGCCGCGATGCTCGTTTCATGGGCGCCGCCATCTTGTTATGAGCCATGGTCACGGGCGCTGGGAGCATCCGCATGCTAGCCGCGTTTTCGTCAGGAATATTTTCAAATTAGATACGAAACTACCATGACGTAGAGAAAAATCGAGGCTGACTAATAATTTGCATGATAGAACAGTTAGAATTTCTCGTATTTTATGATAGATGGCGCAACGGGTCACTCATACCAGCGGTATGCAAAAAACGTAAGATAAGAAAAACGAAGATCTCCGTAGTTAGCAGCGGAAGTGTTAAGACCAAACTTTCAATAATGATGGAATATATTTGGCATAGTCAATATTTATGCGCTAACAAATTTATATTACTTTTTCTATAGGTAAGGTTTTACATAATGTGCGTTTTGAATTAATAACTCACCGAGAGTAGCACAAAAGAAAAGGAATCATTTTAACAAAAAATATCTTTCATGACAAAAAAAAAAAAAAAAAAAGATGAGGTAAATGGATTCTCCAATTCTCTTGGGGAAAAGACTGAATGTATCTTTTTTCCCCCAGCTATAAATATAGAAAAGTAGAACAGACTGGGGACAACGAGACGAAGGGAAAGACAATTCTGAAATCAAATCTGTCGTTGTCGGATGGTTGGCGACTGAACTAATTCCTCCCTTCCACTTTGGTGTAGAGTTGGTTAGCAAACCAGTAGGAATAAAAATTAAAACATGTAAAAGGTAAATGAGTTTAAATATTAAATTTAATTTTAATTAACGACTAGTTAACTAAAAATGGTGCCCCGATAGAAAAAAAAGAAAACAACATGGAAAAACTAACTGGAAACCATTTTACTATCCTTTCCAAGAACAGTGATGGAAATGCTCTGTTTAGAAAGGAAGCTGTGGAAAGTCACGAACGTTCTGAAGAGACACGGTACTTAGAGATTATTAAAATATAATAATTACACTATTTACATCGCTCGGACTATCATCCTCATCTTTGTTTCCATATTTATCACAACGTTTCGGCCGTTGGACGCTCCGGTCTTCTTCAGGTGGTTGGAATGTCGAACTGAACTCTTTATTTCGCTCGCTGGGGTAGACTGTTCTAGTTCCACGTGTCATGTCTAATGGATGTCAGTTATCAGTTATATCCTGTTAATTCCCCTCTCCAAGTTCTCCATCGCCTTAACCAAGTATTGAACTCACAACTATTTGGGTCCTGTCACTGGATCTAACTAACTACCTTCATCCATTGTGCCATGTGTCCTTGAGGACAGTGGATAATGTCAGTGGATAACTGGCATCCATTAGACATGACATGTGGAACTAGAACAGTCTATCCCCAGCGAACGAAATAAAGGGTTCAATTTGTCATTCTAACTACCTGAAGAAGGCCAGAGCGTACAACGGCCGAAACGTTGTGATAAATATGGCAACAAAGATGAGGATGATAGTCCGAACGATGTAAACAGTGTACATAATACCTCATCTCAGAAATATAGACAGATATACTAATTACTTGGTGTACTTTTTCTGTCCTTAATTAAAGTGTCAACACCATAGATTCAAGATAAAATTTTTTTCGAATAATGGAAACGTACAATCTAAAAACACTGACGAGAATGGATAAATAGCAGGATCTAGGGTAAGTTTATTTGATTAAACATATGTGACCTATGACAAAAACCAAATTATCACAGATTGATCGTGTTTCCATGTTTGGTCATAATTATGAACTCCTTAGACTACATTTTTGTGCGGGTGCATTATTGTGTAAAATATGTGTTACTCGATGGGTAGTGTAGTTGTCATTGTACAAAATAGTAGTAGTAGCAGTAGTAATAGTAGTAGTAGTAATAGTTAACTTATTACATTCGCCTCTATCTGTTTGTTGATATGTAACGCTAACAGGCAAATTAAAAATAAATGCACGAAGGAAAAAAAATAAGGGAGAAATCTTTCAAGATTTCATTAAATGTTAGGGCATTACAGAAAATCTGTTTTTGAAATTAACTCGTTATAAAGTAAATTTATAAGCTTATTTATAATTATTATTAATTGCAGTAAGAAATCTATCTTACTCTTTAAATACGGATACAATAAATGCTAAAACGAATACAGAGTGGCCACTTTGAGGAACCATGTAAAAGTTCAACTGCAATCGGCTGTTGTCTGGATAATGGAATACAAAATCATTAGGCGAATTTTATGAGACGTAATAGACAAAAAAATTATTTCTCTTGTCTAACAATAAAATGCCAAACATTTCCGATGCTGTTTTAGTTTATTTTATTGGGATTTTTTTTCAATCGACTGTTTCTTCATCTTCGATCACAATCTCCATAAATTCAATTATATCAATCCATTCCATTATTGTGAAGGTATCCCACAAATCCGATTGAGGAAGTGTGATATTTTATTCAGTTTTAATGATTTTACTACGGACAAGCGAAGATAGAGATGATTCAGGTTTTGATATACCTTTTTTTCTGCTACGTTAAAAAGATATAACGAGACAAATTAACCAAAAGCCACCAATACGAAGAAAAGCATGAGCATTTTTCAAGAAATATGCATTTTCTTGTTTTATTATTTGTACTCATTAAGATTTCATACTAATTGTAATTATTAATTTCCATAAAAGATCAAGTGATAGAAAGTTTCCTCAATATACGAGCTCTCTTCTTTGTATATTAGCTAATTGTTGTTTGGTTGTTTTCAGTTCTTCCTGTCAGTTTTTAAAACCCTTCACGATTTTTATAAGCGTTCCAATAATGATGGGTACAGTTGTCATTGTATTTTTCTACATTTTTTAAATGATTTCCTGCTTTAAAATTTCTTTTAATTTTATTTTGTAAGTTTTCTGAAAATCCATTATCTGAGATATTTTCTTCACGAAGCCTAAAGTTGGTCTTCTAACTTGGACTGGGCGATCCATTTGAATTTGAAAGTCCCAAATAATGTTAGATTTTTTTTAATTCGCTAATAGCGGCTCGGATTGAGGAATCGGAGAGCCGAGTTCGAATTCCAGTCGAATGCATTACGTTCACTTACGTGCTAATATCCCTGGGAAAGGTATGAATCCTCTTCTTCTCTCAGCTATTGGTAAATAGCAAGAAAATCGGATCTAACGCAGAAAGAAATGGCAACCGACTGCGAGAAAAAAAATCTGCCTTGTCAGTCATGTATCAAAAGATAAATGACGTGCATCACGCATGGCACATAATTGACTGACTGAAAACACAGCCAGGCCTGATTGCTTGCATCGTCCAATCGCGGTGGTTTGATTCTCTTCCTCCTACTCAGCCATGTATAATTTTGTATTGTAGCATTAACAGTTCGTGCATTTACATGTGTATACCAGAAATCTGGTGATTGTCATTGGAGACCGAGTGATAAATGGTTTCTGAAATCTCCAAACCTTTTTTTCGGTAATCTCACAGACACGATTCCCGATGTAGCCTGAACCGTTTCAATCATTCTATGAATCTCTAATTCATTCAATCTTCATACTTATAGCGTTGTTATCAGTGGCGATTCTGAAACACTGAAAGTGGGGCAGGGGAGCACTTGGCGGAGCGAGAATTTTCTGCGGAGGAGGGGGGGGACAAATTCAAGCAGCGTCTTTATTTTCATACTACACCACTATCGTATACACAACTTAGGAATGAGTTTTAGTATAAATATGTTACTTCACTAAATTAAACGGATTAACTTTTCATTCATAGTAGTGGAGTTCTAATCTATTCCTGCCATCTTTTCCACTCTCAAGCTCTTGGACCACAAGAGAGGGATTAACTTCAAAACAAAATCAAAGAGTTAGCAGAACAGTGTAATTTGTCTTCTCTGATTTTTTTTCCTCTACAAAACTTAAAAAAGTTGGGGAGCAATCGAGGGACCATCCAAAATGGGAGGCATTGGCCCCCTTTCTGTCTGACCCCCCCCCAGAATCGCCACTCGTTGTTAAGTGCGCTAGTTATTATAAGTAATACACCAATCCATGAGCCATAACTTCTTCATTTCTGGTATTTTCCCCATATTTCACTTTCATTTTCATAATGTGATTTGGCATATTCTCTTTTCATTATTTGAGATCATCTTGCATGCATGTTGATTACTAGAATAACATTGGGGGAGATGGTGTTAAACATGTTATTTATTATTCTAATTGTTGCAGGAGTTGTGGGAGGAGGCACGGTGGATAGTTATGAATAGCGGCTCGGGTTGAGGAATCGGTGAGCCGAGTTCGAATTCCAGTCGAATCCATTACATTCACTTACGTGGTAATATCCTTGCGAAAGGTATGAATAGGGCTATGGGTAAATAGCAGAACAGGCCGGGTTCTATAGCCTTGGACGGCAACTGGTCTACCGCAGAAATGGTAACCTGCTGCGGAAAAAAATCTGCCTCGTTAGTCATGTATCGAAAGATAGATGATCGCCTAAGCGTGTATCACGAATGGCACATAACAGACTGTCTGAATTGTTTCTACTGTTATTGTCCTAAGAACAACTCGCTGCCTATTTCAATAAAAGCTTTCTTAAAATATGTACATAATTTGCTTTCAATTTGATTAAAAAAAGAGTAAGAAAAGAAAAAGAAAATTAAGTTATGAGAGTAGAAAATTATAGAAAAAAATAAAAAGGTAGTAAAAAAAAAGACGGAAAGAAAGACAGAAATAAATGAAGATAGATAGATAGATAGATAGATAGATAGATAGATAGATAGATAGATGAAGATATGAACATACTGTCATAGATAGATAGATAGATAGATAGATAGATAGATAGATAGATAGATATGAACATACTGTCATAGATAGATAGATAGATAGATAGATAGATAGATATGAAAATACTGTCATAGATAGATAGATAGATAGATAGATAGATAGATAGATAGATAGATAGATAAAAACATTAAAAAAGAAATCAAATAAAAAGGCAAGAAAAGAAGAGGGTAAGATGCGAATAAAAAAATGTAAATATTTACCTGTTAGAGTGTTCGGAATGGGTCTCTGGTACTGATTCCACGGAGGGAATGTAAAAGGGTCATAACTAGGGATTGGGGGTATAGGATGATTTACCTCACCAAATGGTGGGTAAGGAGGTATATCGAACGGCAGGATGCCATATCCATCAGGCCCTGGTTGTGGATTAAACATACCGGGGTCTGTGGCAAAGGGCTGAAAGGGTGGATAAGGCCCGAAAGGAGGATAAGGCTCGAAAGGAGGATAGGTGGGTGGGAACGGAGGTGGAGGTGGAGGTGGAGGTGGAATTGGGGGTGAGAGTGGAGGCGGAAATGGAAGAGTTGGCTTCATGCCTGCAAAGAAAAAAGAAAACATGTTAGCATTGAAACATACGGGAGAATCATGTTTTATCTAGCGGAAAAGAGTAAGAATATGTAACATTTATGATGTAAGATGATTTCAATGATGAGAATTTTTTTCCTGACATAAACGATTTAGAATTGATTAATTATTTGTTTTCGTTGTTGATAAGCTGCAAACATAATCCAATAAGCAACTACAAGATCCTATAATATCCATAAACGATCATTCAAAATAATCTTCAACATATCAATTTATCCTCACATATTTAACCCGGATGTGTGCTAGTGTAACTATCATCGACGCGGAAAGCCGGAATCGGTGAGAATTCCGGCTTTTTCAGTTACGTTCACTTTCACACAAATGCTTTTGGGAAAATAGAGTACATTTCATTTTTGGTTTACAAAAGTTAAACACGTGAATAAAAATCAATTCTTGATTCTCCAACTGAAGAATCATTTGAAAAATGTAACTAAAACAATTAATTCCGTTAATATTATTAGTTATTTTTTTTACTAATTTTTATTTTCCAAATTACTATATTTAAATAACGCCTGCTGGACGTGTTTTTATATAGCTCAGTTGGCAAGTCGCTGTTCTGATCAAACTCCCAAGTATAAGAGATAAGAGTTGAAATATCGTGGAAAATTTATTCTTTATTTCCAATATCTGCTGCTTGCTTAACAGGCGTATAAATGCAAACAAAAATGTCCCAAGGGTTACAATTAAAAAATTAAACAGTGGTAATGATTCAGCTAAGAAAATTCGACAATTTCAAGCTGTTATTATGTTGTTTTATATATTCTAGCTAAATTATTGTTGCGAAAAGTAAACAAAACACACATACACACACACGCACACAAAAGAATTAGGTCATAAAAAGAGATGATAAAGATTTACTTACCGTGATGACCAGGAAATGAATGAAGGAGGAAAAACAGCATCATCTGTTCAAATATGTTCAAGTATTTAGGAGATAAATGATGTTGCTGAATGTACGGGGAAACCAATACCTTCCAGTCGGGATGGTACCTGAGAATCTCAGCAAACTAAGAAAATAATAAAATATACACATGTACATCAATAAGTTCGCAGCCTGACACAGATATACAAAGGTTCAACTACTGTAAGTCAGCCTTAGAAAAACGAAATGTCAAGTGCATTGCTCATACATTCATGACGAAATTGTTGTTTGCCATATTTATAGAGCCCCGATCAATTAGCATGCCATATTCACTGTTGACGACTTACGGAAGCAAAAATCATTGCAATATACAAGTGAATTAAAATATTTAACATATACAAGGTCATGCGAGTAGTTTATGATCGGTGCCAAAATAGGAATCCGGAAACTGAATTCAAATTCCGCTTTGTCTGCTTAGGAAAAGCATGATTCCATCCCTTCTCCCCCATCAGCTATGGGTTAAATAGCAGGATAGACTGGGCTCTATAGCATTGGATGGAAGTCAATCTAGAGGGAGGGATACTCTGAATTAAAAAATCGTGGAGAAGACAACGGGAAACCCCTTTCTGAAGAAGACATGGCAATTCACAGATGATAAAGAAACATAATTTGTAGAGAACTCAATTACTTACAATACATAATACAATGTAAATATTATGTAAATATTTTCGGTGGGAAATTGATGTTTGATGAAAAAATTTATATAAAATTAAACTTTAGCGTCAAAAATATATATATATATATATATATATATATATATATATATATATAAAGGGTGCGATAATTAATTGCCGCCATTTTATATTTTTAATTTCGCTCATACGCGTTATTGTTTTTTGATTTTGTCGACTTCACAGTATGGTATGGTCAGCTGGTCACCGTCAGTGAGAAAAAAAAGCACCATGATTCAACCTGATCCGCTAGAAATTTGGAAACGGCATGCTGTACAGCTTGGCATTCGCGCCAGAAGCTCCAATACGAACATTTCAGAGTTTTTGGATGTCAATCTGAGGACAATGTAGAGGACTCGGAAATAGTTGGATGAGTCTAATGGTGATTACGAAGGTACGGCAGTTCGGAAAACTCACTCTGATCGTTCTGATAAGAAAAAACTCCCGAATTTGTTGATGAGGACCTCAGAATCAACATGGTGGTCTACAAACAGGAGCATGCAGTCGTGGCTGTCAGACAATTTTTGCGACAGACATCTCTTACATCTAGCCACCTAACTCCCCAGACTGCAAACCCCTTGATTATTATGTGTGGATCGCAGTAGAACGAAAGTCAGATAAAACTTGTTATAATGCCAAAGATAAACTGAACATAAGGATTATGGCAGCATTCACCCACTTAAACAAGGAGACCGTTCAGAAGAGTTGCAGGAGATCCTGGAGGGCGTGGTTGAAGCTAATGACGATTTTATTGAATAAATTTACTCTTTAGTTTACAAGATATTTTTCTGTAATTTTGGAAAATATATTTGTTAAAATGAGATGTCAGTGTTATTTTCATTTTTTCGTAATTTAGACAACAATTTATCCATCGCACTCTGAATATATATATCACAAAAACAGAAAGTGTGCATGCAACAAACAAAAAGCCGGCCAGGTGACTAAAAGGAAGCCTTATAAAAAGAAAAACCAAGAAAAAAATATATAAGAAAACGGATAAAAGAAACATAAACTAAGAAATAAAATGACCCACAGACAGACACCTACCTAACCAATAACAAACAGTGCTCTATGCTAGGGTACCAATAGAGAGAAATTCCACTTCCCATCGAAAGAGGCAAAGTTTGAACCGCTACTTCCATCTTCAGGAAACAAAACTATATATATATATATATATATATATATATATGTGTGTGTGTGTGTGTGTGTGTGTGTGTGTGGATTACGTCTAGCATGAAACAGCCTGTCGCCTCTGAGTGTTGACATGAATGTTCATTTTATATTTACATACGCTCTATCTCTGATATTGTGCACTTTATCCCATAAATATAGCACAACTTACAACTATATTTCTTCTATATTATATATATATATATATATATATATATATATATATATATATATATATATATATATCAAGGGGCCAAGTACTGGCTAATGCAGATATGTACTGATATTTACTAAATTTTGTATGATACTAAATTCGTTACATTAATGATGACCTACAAAATTATTTTTTCTTATCTACGGACCTAAGAATATACTAGCTGCTGTAGGTGAATACTAAAATAATTGTTTTATGGTAATTCCAAATTGAAGACAACTCATTTTCAAACGATTTATGTTAGGGTTTAACTTGAAGTTAATACAATTTGAAAGTAAATATTTATTCTATTTTTACTACGCTGTATAATAGTTACTGCGAATATTTTACTATTTAGTAATAAATGGCATTGACTATTTTAAAAGGTTTCATTCTTAGAATAAAACCGTAATAGTCATGGTGGGTACTTAATGGTGGAATACATTTTGTATTCTTGGTACCTTCCAATAATAAGGGTTTCTAAAGAATTGATTTTAAAACTGGTGCATGAGTGTTCATTTGAATTCCACTAACAAAGCCTATATAAATGTTCTTTTATGAATGCATGTATATTAAAAGTGAGAAAGAAAGCGTAATAAATAAATAAAAACAATAATGAAAAGAAAAAAAAAACACAACAAAACATACTTCCTGCTTTGTTTGTGATGAATTTGCCAACTTACGTGGTTCATGAATTTATAAATGTCTTCATGCTTCAGAGCAATTTGCTGAATCTGTGATGGAGAAATTGCCGAAGTATGCGTATAGTTCTGCAACTCATTTAATATAGTTTTCAATTCCGTTTGAAATTTGGGTTCATGAAGATATTTGCTCCATTGAATATCACTTAAGAATTGTATAATCCAGTCCTTATTTATGCTTTTCTTTTCATTCGGCGGAAGCACTGCGAAGATTAAATTGTAATGAAAAGCAATTGTGAAGAGATTAAAAGCAATTGATATTAGCAAGAAATAGGTGTATGCATATGTATAAATAAAGAGATAGTAAATATTTAATATCAAAGTGCTGTTTTGAAACACGAACAAGTTTGTATAAGAATAAGCAAATACTCTAGCAATTATTCGATAAAATATGCTCATTTTCGTTGCTTTTTGTTGCAGCGTTTTGACAATATTATGGCTTCGCTTCACGAATAAAGATTTAGAAATGCGTTCAAAGAGTGTTTGCGGGTCAGTTGATTGTAGACGAACCCTTTCTGGGAAAGGTAAGTTCTGACACAAGAGCTGCAAGTGAAAATCTGGAAATGGGAAGTAATTCTAGTTTTTAAAGCGCTTCTCCCTTTTTTTCAACATCTCGTTCTGCGATTGTCTTCAGCACAGAAGATAGCTTTGAAGACTTTATGTTGCCATATCAGTAGATTTTACTGGCCACTGGAGTTAGTCGATTCCAGAAGAGACGAGGGCGTTTTGAGTGTGGTGATGCGGTGTCTCTTTCATGGAGTCCTTGTGTTTCGATGACCAGTGAAAAGTTCATGTAACCGTAGAATTGTGGGTAAACTATAGTCTTTTCCCGTCAAATTATGGCTTGGAGTACTCTGCGGAGTTCTACTTATTGCAACATAATCTCGAGGATGTCGATATATTCTTTTCAATCAATTTCACCCCTAGCAAGCCAGTAAAGCCACCGAGACGCAAAGGGTTACTGGGCATGGAAAAGTTAGAAACAGGAACATTTCTAAGGAGCGAAAACAAAAGAAGAGTAATCATGAGGACAACAGCGTTTGACATTGCATTTATTTTTTTGCAGATTAAAGTTGGATGGAGCCGGAAGAGAGTTATACAAGAGAGAAGAGCAAGAGAAGAAACTGCTAGCATAGAATTTACAGTTACATCTAGCTATCTCAACTGTGGTGAGATCTCGACGCCAGTCTAGTACTGCTCTTAAATTCAAAGAGTCTAGGCACCATAGCGAAGAGCTCATCCGAACAATTACCATGAAAGGGTTTATAGAAAAGGCAAAGGGAGGCAAATTTTTGACGATGTGAAAGTGATTGAAA